AAGTTTACTATTTAAATTTCTTATAAATTTTGTTTTTAAGTCATTTTTTTGTTTATCAGTTACACAATACAAGTGTAATACTTATATAAGTGTAGATGGAATTTATTTTCTTATAATATAAATAGATAAAAGGAAAATTTATCATTTTATTTTAGTTTAAAAACTTAATTTGCTTCATAAATGATTTAGAAATTATCATTTTTATACCATTTTAGTCTATCCATTATGCAACAATTACTTTTTGTTAACAGAACAGCATGTAATAGGACACGGAGCTAAGCTGAAGCATACCTTTGGCGTTTATTTTAATAAATTCAAAGGTTTTGCCAACGCTCTAAATAATTCAATGATCATTTCTTTCTACTAAAAGAAAAATGCCTTAAGTTTGAGTTGTATAGCATGCGGATAGAATAAGATAAGAGATGTGAGATGGTTGCCTCCCATTGTGCAACCAATATGGAAAAATAAAAAATCAAAGGTTTTAATTCAATCACCTTACATTATAAAGTTTTTACTCATTATATTTAAAGATAGGAAGATTTTAACCCTTAAACTAACGAAATAGTTAACTCTCGTTAAGGTGAGAATAAAATATTTACAGAATCAGTCCTTAAAAATTAAAATTATAAAAATTTAATTCTTAAAATTTTTTAAAAAGTATTAAATTAAAAATAATTAGTGAATATCTTTGTCACATACACGAGAAAAGTGTTAGATATCTATCATAAATCAAACGATTAACCCAATTTAAAGAATGAATTTTGATAAAGATTAAAGAAAATTTCTTAGTTGAGTTAAGATAAAAAAATTTAAAAAACTAAAAGAATACAATTAAAAAATTGTCTTTAATTCTAGTCAAATTTCTTTATTTAGATTGAGCTAATCACTAAATTTGATAGTAGATATTTAATACTATTCTCATATATATGATAAATGCATCCACTAATTATTTTTAATTTACAATTTTTTTTATTTCTTAAACTTTGAGACTAAATTATTATTATTTTAATATTTAAAGACTAATTTTATAAATATTTTATTCTCAATTTAACAAATAGTCAACAAATTCCTTTTAGTCTAAGAGCTAAAATCTTCAAACTTTTAAGTCAAAGGGTTAAAAATTTCATAGTATAAGATGAGGGATTAAAACCTTTCAATTTATTAAGGTAAGCGGTTAAAATCTTTAAATTTATCAAGATGATAGGCTAAAGATATAAAACTGGCATAATATGGCAAAAAAACAAAAGAAAAAATGATCTTTTAACTTCCAAGGATTGAAAAATGTTTTAATTAAGTCCTTGAATTGGGTAGAGGAAAACCAAGTAAAGTAAAATGACAAATTTGCCCTTATATACCTAATTATACATGTCAGTATGTTGCCATGGCAAAAAAAATAAATACTGATAATAAAGAGATATAATAATAAAAGGAGTAAGTGTTTGTTCGCCTTATCTCTAAAAAATTATGAAAAAAAATGACAAAAATTACCTTAATGCATGCTTTAAAAATAAGGTAGTTTAGTCTTTTTCAATAAAAATTTATTGAAACACGTAGTTTTGGGATGATTTTCCTTTTAATCTTTAGAAAGTAAGACTGATAGGAACTATTTTCATAATAAAATAATAAAACATTTTGCGTTCTTTTTCTTCCTTTTTCCTTCTTAGGTGTGACATGTTATTAATTTTTCTTCTTAATTAGTTTTGATCCAATTTTTGAATAAAAGTTCTAATCTAATTAATTACCAACAAATAATTAATTTTTAGTATTTTTTT